TTTTTTTTTTTTGCATGATGATGGTTGGTGAGAATAAACTGGAGCTCAAATGTAAGTCAAATGTAAGCTTTAAATAAGATATTTGGTGGGCTACAACACATTAAGAAAGATATGAATATCATTTATCACATAATTTGTTATTCGTTATTCATAGAACTGTTTGCATCAGCAGATGTATTTACTAAACAATCTCATATATCATATGTGTTTGTTTCATTTCTTTTACCATTTACTACTTGTTTTGACGTTTTCTTTGGACATATCTCTGTTGTTGTGCTTACTCATTTTCCATTGCGATTGAAATGTTATCATTCTGCATCTTTTTACGTTCTTTTTTGAAACCGTAGGAGTGAAACTTTCATTCCACTGTTGCTCTTCAAAATCAGTTATGAAGTCTCGTGCAACACTCTATATAATATGTAAAACATCAAGTAAGAACATTAATTTGTAAAATTCTGAATCAAAGACATAAAATATATAGATGCACGGAAATTTGAATTACCAAACTTAGGACATATCTGGAGCTTTTGTTTAACAAACTCAATGTGAAGATAAATTAAATTTAAACTACACTTACAGTTGAATATGAATGTGAAAACAATACTTGGTATTAGCGACTATCTCTATGAGTTTGTAGTATTAATTGCCCTCTAAATTTCAAACTGTGTTGATCTTCATTCGAAACTGCCACGCATTATCTGAATATGCTTCAGCAAGTCTATCTTGTTTTCATACTTGTTTCAATTATGAATATAAATGTTATTTGAAGTTAAATTTTGTATGAATAGACAGGTGATATGAACAACAGTGAAGAGCAATTTACCTCGGAATATGTGGCATAAAATGATGCATTTAAATTAAATTTAAATTTAAATAATATATTACCTTAGAATCGTGAAAGATAATATCAAGAACATTTCGGTAATTGCGTACGTCTTCAACTCGTTGGAACATCCTAATTATGCGTATATAACTTGATTGGTGGCTTATTGGATCTTTGGATATTCTTGATGACTCCGAAATTCAAAGGCATTTTGAATGATGTTGTAAAAGCTTCGTGAAAAAGTGTATTGTGGAATGAATGTTGAATATTTGTTGTTCAAGGTTGGTGATGTGTATGTACCGTAAGCCATGTAAATGTACCGTAAGCCACTCACGGGGATTTAAAAGATACTTACGTCATTTACTAATCTATTTAATTGATAATATCCGATATTTTTTATTATGATATAAATAATATCCCGTGAGATCTTATCCGACTTATTTGATTATGCTTATGATGAGTTAAAAAAATATGTATTTTCGGTTTTGGTAAAACAATAAAAAAATGTGGTAAGTGATTCACATGTGAGGGACGCACGAATATTTTGAAGATTATGTTGCCAAAAAAAATGGAGTTTGTTACAATGAAATTTGGTAAGACAATTTCGATCAACTCTCTTCGAGATTATGTAGTAATTAAAAAATTTGTGAACAAATAAAATCCTACAAAATCAATCAAATATATGCAGATTGATAAAAAATAAAAAATAAAAATGAATAATTGCTAAACAAATGTGAAAAACCGTCCAAATCGTCAATTTTGTAGCGGCCCAATAAATCTGTAGTTATTGTGCAAATTTGGTAACAACAATCCCTATACAAAATTAATCAAAATCCCTATACAAAATTAACAAAATCCGATAAATTTGGAAAAGAAATTTCGATCATTATCATCGAGATCTTGTAGTAATTAAAAATTTATGAACAAATAAAGTCCCACAAAATCCGATGACATTGGTTAGTAACAACAATCCCTATATAAAATAAATCAAATCCTAGCAATATAGTTAACATAATCCTATAAATTTGGTAAGAAAATTTCAATCATTATCATCGAGATCTTGTAGTTATTATGAAAGTTGTGAACAAATAAAATCCCACAAAATCTGATAACATTGGTTAACAACATTCAAACTAATTTTAGTAGGAAAGATTTAGGTGATTTATCTTCTTTATTAATTTTATGTTAACGCGTGGGACCCATTGTTATTACTTAAATTAGTAAGTCAAAACATTATTTTTTTTAAGTCAAACATACTATTTTTGTATTTTTTCAACAACCTCTTTATATTACTATAGATAATAAATTTACATAAAATAACGGAAATAAATGGCTTGTATATAAATTTCGTACATCAAAGTGTTAATATTTTTGTATCTCATTAAATTTTTACCATATAAATATATATATATATATATACATAAATTTTATTTTTAAAAAATATTATTGTTTTATCAAATGTATAGTTACCAAGTCAAGGTCAACCGAGCTGACAGGGGTTTGACTGAGTCTCTTGTCACCTGATCCGAAACACCCACGCAGCCCGGTCTCGACTCCGAGTCGACTATGTCTCGGATCGACCAGTCGGGCCGGACCGGACCATGTTGAAAAACTATGTGTTGCACATTTCAAAATAATATACTAGACTTATCTTTGGTTTGGTTGCAACCTAGCTAATATTCCAGAACATGTTGGGGGCAGGAGGAAAATAATTAGTGAGATACAAAAAAGCTTTAATCAAACTTGTACTAAAAAATAACATATGAATAAAATTATTGCAAACACTAGACAATGAGATAACTAAGGTTAGATTCTCAGGGCCCTAAAAATATCTTATTATTTGCCTAAATTGGCTATGTAACATAACAAAAAATCTAGTACTATGCACCTTTGAAAAAATATTAAGCATACGAGTTGTGGAGCGAAAACTCAAAGGCTCGATTTTATGTTTATATTGTAATAATATATAAAATAAAATAATTAAAGTTAATTTAACGTAAAAGTACGAGATAATATGAAGTGATGGAGTGGATGAATAACAAATTAAAATTGATAATATTGAGGATAGTGAGATTAAATTAAAGTTTTGATTTAAATTTCGAATGAATTGAATATGAAATGAGTTATTTTGTTTAAAAACTCACTAGGAAAGTATCACATGTAGTTGCTATAGAACACTATCTTTGCATTTTAATCGTGCCTACTTTTTTCAGAAATTCTATGGTGCCACAACATGATGTGGCACATTATGATTGGTGGCACAATTATCACACATCATGTTGTGGCACATTCGCCACATCATGTTGTGGCACCATAATACGTGTGGCACCATAGAATTTCTGTACTTTTTTTAGGTAAAAGATTATTTCCAGCATATGAATGAGTGCCGCTTACTGTTTTCCCTTGAAAAGGAAAACTTAATTTAAAAAGTAGCTCATGAATGAATGCAATCATTGATTGATTTGTTCTCCCATTAATTTTGGCCATCTTTGGTTGCCTATTACCGTTATATCCTTAAATCTTACATGGTGGGTTAAATAAATAAAAATTACTATCTCTTATTTTTATTATATATCGTTTTGAGAAGTTGCACACTAATTAAGAATAGTTTTTTTGTATAATAATCTCATTTAATGAAGGTAGAGATGAATGTTTTGAGAAAAAGTGAAGAGTGAATATGAAAAGATGTAATGTATTTATTGGCTAAATGAGGGTAATAATAGAAAAATATGTACAAAATATCCAAAATGATATTTATTTGGCAAATAGTTGAAAAAGCTAGAATGACATTTAAAAAAATAGGAGGGAGTATTAAACTTAGCTGATAAACTAGCTAAAATAAAAATTTCAATAATTTTATTTAAAAATTTATTCAAAGAAGCTTATAAGATAAGTTTGAGTTATTTAAAAAAAATTCTTCATACCAAACAAAACTTATAAGCTAATCAAATAAGATATAAGCTAGCATATTTTATTATCAAACATACCCTTAGTTTGGTAGTGCGAGTTTTTTTAAAAAAATTTGAGCTTATCTCATAAGCTTAACTATGTAGTTTTTTAAACAGGCCTATCGAAAAATTTTATTTCAACTACCTTATCAGTTAATTTTACCAACACTTTTATCATCCAATCTAGCTTTTCAGTCACAAGTCATAAGTTATCAAATATAAACTCGAAATCCACTTAAAAGTTATAAACTAATTTATCAGCTATAAGCTAACGTATAAACTAAGTTTAACAAAGATAAGTGAATTTAGAATAATTTTCACTTCAACAACTAAAAATATTGTATTGTTTTTGCCTCTTTTATTCTATGTCCACCATGCTGTCAAACAAATAAAATAGAATGCTTGGCTCAAAAAAAAAAAAAAANNAAAAAAAAAAAAAAAAAAAGTTAAAAATACAAATGGGAAATGGTCAAAAGCATGATTAAAAAAAGAGAAATTAGTAGGATAAGACACCACCTTTGTCACCTTGTCCACATATACTAAACCATATGGTATTAAATAAGACCAAATTTGGTCATAATCAGTGACAATCTAAATATAAAATAAAGAAACAACATTTATATAAATGTTAAATTAATTTAAAAAAAAAAATAAAAATATTTACCTGAGTTTAAAGATTTCCAGTATAGTATATGATACTATTCATAAACCACTACTGGTTTTAGCAACATAATTGCATTGCATAAGTACAAACAAATAGATGACTCTCTCTTTGTTACTCTTCTCTCTCTCTCTCTCTCTCTCTCTCTCTCTCTCTCTCTCTCTCTCTTTTTCTTCTTCTTGATTTAACACTTTTCTTTAATAATCCCAAAAACCCTGCAATATTTTACAAGGGCTGCTGAGGATGTAAGGGCTCTACCTCACCACCCCTTTTTTTCTCCTGCTGTGTTTATTGAGATATATGCATTGTCCCATTGGGAAGTGTTGAAAGAATCAATTTTTTTTCATGGGGCAATTTTAATTGAAGCACAAAGTGATAATTTTTTTATTTTTTTTTGAGAAAAAAAAAAAACTTATGAAAATGGTTGAGCCCAGCTTCATTTCTTGGCTTTTTAGCATTTTTTGAGTAATAAGTACATATATGTATGTTGGATGATTCATCTTGCTCTCTTTATGTTTGATGAAAGTTCTGATTAATTTTTTCTTCTTTTTTGGTCCCTTTAATAGTCATGGAGAGGAGATCAACAAGAATTTCAGAGCTAAGGCAGAAACAAGAACTGAGCATTATGTGGAGGTTGCTTAATGCCACTGAGTCCTGCCAAGATCAACCCTGCGGCAAGTCGATTTCAAACCGGAGGCCCTCGAGCAAGCGAATCACCGGTATAAATATATAATCTATCTTAGATTCCTTCTCCGGTGTTTGTAATCTTAGCATAGTGTGTGGAAGCAAAACTTAAGTGAGTCTTTCAGGGAAGAGAAAAATGAATTAAAAACACAAATGTGTTCATGTCTTGATTTTATGGGTCAAGTTGTTAGGTGATACTATAAATAAACAGCCCATGAGTGGTTGACTGTCTGTATAGGAACCGGTAGGTTTAAGGCCATAAATGTTTCATTATCTTGTTTGTTTGCCCCTTAAAAATATTTTACCTTCTTCCTAGTAAAAGATGAGCTCAATGAAGCTGCCTTCTGCTGTTAATGTGGTGCAACAGTTTGGCATTAGACATAATTTGTGATCTTCAATCTGTTTCAACAGCTCGTCCGAGAAAGATTGACCAGCTCACGAGCTTTGATGCAGAATGCCGAAGAATTCGAGTAAGCTGTCATTTCTACATTTTTTTACTGGTTAATAATGGTAGTAGCCTTGCTAGTTTCCTCGAGTGTGTTCGCTGCATATTTTTCTTTTTGATGTTATCGTAAGATTTACAATTCCCGTCTCGTTTGAACACTAATCTATGGTTTACTTTAGATTCGGAATGAAGCAGAATTGGGAAATGTCAAGGCTGATGATGAATATATGCCCTCTGAGACGTACGAGACCATATATCAGATAATCGAACAGCATCAATGTGAAAAAGTCGATCCTCAACTTATCAACCTTCTCGTGAAGGCTCACAATAGAGTGAAAGAGAAGAGCCGTAAAGCGCACCACTTATCTTCGTGTTATTTAAGTGATGCGGCCAACTTATTCCATCAGCTTCTTCCAACTTCATCTAAAATGTCTTTAGATAGTGTTACGTTAGCTGCAATTTTAAGGACGGTCTGTGTTCATAATCACCGGGAAGAGAGTATTCATACAAGCGCAAAAGCTTTTGTTGATCGGATGTTTATTCACAGAAAGCTCATTTCGAAAGGCATGGTATACCCTCGGTCCAAGTCATCGTCTAATGCATTTGAAATTCCGGATTCAGATAAGGACCTGTTTGGGGGGCTCTTTCTGGATACAGAATCTCTCTTACAAAGGCCCTTCAAGAACTCTAAATATCCTCAAATCGAAAAAAATACGCTTAAGTCTGTTTTGGATGGAAAAGAACTTGAGAGACTCGACTCAACTAGTAGTTCAGAAAAGCCCGGAAGTCTATTTATCGCGAGAAATGGGAAAATGGACACGAATCCACAGTCAAAGTCTACCGAAACAAATTTTGTAGAACAGCCTTCGGACAGAATAGTAATACTAAAGCCAGCACCTCAAAAATCAGCAAAACAATCGGAATATGTGAACTGCCATTGCTCATCGTTGCAGTCTCAAAAAAAGTTCGGAAAATTTCCGGAGGCGAAACCGAAATCCTTCTCTTTTAGAGAAATGAAGAGGAAACTGAAGCATGCGTTTGGTGGGACGAAAAAAGAATCGAGCAAGATTCAAAATTTCGGGTCAAAAGGAAACTTGGACTTTCCTACTGAGGGAACTCTGCCTGGCCAACAAGAATTTGATGTAATTTTGGAGGCAAAGAAGCACCTTTCTGCAAGACTCAAGAAAGTGAATGCTACAGAGACTGTGACGGATAAAAAATCCCCCAAAACCCTGGGCCGGATTCTGTCCTCGCCCGAGAGGGACTTTCGGGCCATTGGCCCAAGGAGGGGCAGCCCACATGATTCTGACTTTGACCAGATGATCTTCAATCCTTACAATGGTTCAGCCAGAGTTGGTGAAATCATTTCAGAAATGCCAAAGGGAAAACGAGGGGTTTGTTTAAGCCCATCAAGACATTACTCGGAGGTTACATCATGTGGTTTTGTTTTTGAAAACCGTATCCTACAGATAATGGATACAAAAACTGGTTTCTCTCCAACTCCAAGCACTGATGACAACAGTTCTTCCATTGATGATATCAATTCCAACGGTATAAATTTATTCCTGTTTATGTCGTAACTTTGTGCTTCTATATTGCTGTTGCCGCAGATTTCTTCTTCTTCTTATTTTGTGGAAAAAAATGCTTGAATGTTTCTATTTTCTACAGGTGTTTCAAAGATAGCTGAAATGCAAAGTGTCCCGGTATCCCAATTGTACACTTCAGAGGTGCCCACTGATACAAACAGCTATGACGTTA